AAGTTTCTCAGAAATTTGAAAGTGCGTTGGTTATCACTTTGGTAGTTTATATTTGAGATGAACTTATCGAAAGAAGTGCGTTCAGCTTGTAAGTTGGCTTGCCTTAGGACAGCTGATTGTTGTCCTGTACGTCATCCGTTCTTCCAGTCTGATCAGCAGTGTTGCAAAGAGCGTCCCTCCCAGTCTGATCAGCAGTGTTGCGAAGGGCGTCCCTCTTACATTTCAGTTCCTCAAGGTGTTTAGACCAAAACACCCGATAGCGTTTAATCTTGCCTCGGGGAATAGTTTTCTTTACACATTTGATCATAATATTGGTGATAACATTGCAAAGTTTGTCAGGATGCTGGGATTGAGGGGACTTGTGTGAAGTTCATTCTTAAAAGGTTTGTTGAGGGGACTTGTGTGAAGTTCATTCTTATGTTGGTTGAAGTTGAGGGGACTTGTGTAAAGTTCATTGACTAAAAGGTTTACGAATCTAGGCCAGTCAGCCTTCTTGAAGTTTCATGATAGCTTGATTGCTTTTGCTACCGATGGTAATACTAGCAATGACTCTTTTGTGACCATAACCAGGATCTNTGGCAACTTTCCATTGGTTAGGTACGAGACTGGTCTCCCAGATTTTGTTGTAAAGCGTCAGCATGGTTTCCTTGGCTGTTGGTCCCATTCTAATTAGAAATTCCGGATGAATACCGTCTTTGCCAGGAGACTTCTTGCACTTGAGCTGTTTTATCGCAGCATTAAGTTCGCAAGGTCGGAATGGTTCAGTAAGTACATTATTTGGTGTTGCTATGTCTTCCTTAATTTCACCAAACTGTCTTACTTGTATCTTTAAATCTCTTGAAGATTTTCTGACAAAAGGGTTTTTCTTTTGCTTGTGGGAATAGAACCTCGCAAAGCAGTTAGCTATTTCGGAGTCGGTGGTAAGCAGTTTGTTTTTTAAACGTATTGGTTCTTTCTTGGGTCTTTCTCTGTTGTTTTGTTGGCTACCACTTTGATAGTTGATATTTGAGATGAACTTGTCGAAGGAAGTCCGTTTAGTTTGTAAGATGGCTTGTCTTAGGACAGCTGATTGTCGTCTCCAGGCTTGTACGTCTTCCGTTCTTCCAGTCTGATCAGCAGTGTTGCAAAGGGCATCCCGCTTTCTTTTCAGTTCCTCGAGATGTCTAGACCAAAACACTCGATAGTGTTTAGTCTTGCCACTAGGAATAGCTTTCTTTGCACATCTGATCATAATATTCATGATTTCGTCGCAAAGTGTGACACGATGTAGGTTGAAGTTGAGCGGACTTGTGTCAAGTTCGTTCTCTAACAGGTTTGTTGAATCTGGACCAGTCGGCTTTCTTCAAGCTGCATGATGTCTTATTTGGCATTTTCGGTGCCAAGTTTTGCTGCCGATGGTAATACTAGTAATGACAGGTTTGTGACCAGAACCAGGATGGTCAATTATCTTGCTGCGTTTATGCTCGCTGATGTCGTTTGAAGCCAGGAGCAAGTCAGTAGTTGTTGTGGTTCTATTGTAGTCCAGATATGTATCAGGATCCTCATCGCTATAAATAAGTTCTAGAAGTTTGCTGTTGAGCATGACTTCGATTTGATTTCCAGCTATGTTTATGTTCCTTCAGTCTTATCTGGTGGAGTGGGTGCTGAAGACTCTAGGCACTACAGTTTTGTGTGTGATGTTCACAGGATCAAAGTTTGGACCATTCTGGGGTGGATTATAGACTGCATATATCTTGAAGTAGTTTTGACATTTCCTAACATTTAATCTGATAATTTCACATATGTCTTGCGCCGAGCACTACGTAGAGGCAAGTCTTTTGCACACCCTTTTTGAGTTTCCAAGTATGAGAACTAAATTAGGAAGAGGAAAGATGGCAATGGTGATTAAAGGGTTTTAAAGAGAGGATAAAGAGTTATCAGCCGATTAAGTGAGTTTACAAATGAGTTCTGATATCTCGAAGTCGTTAACGCAAGAATGTGCGCTATTCTAAACAACGAAAACATTTATCAATAACAACGATATTAAATCGAGGGATATTACACAATGACTTGATGCAATTTGGAATTTCACAAAGTAGGTGGGGAAATGTTGCATGTAAAAGCGACCTTGCTTGCACTTTACCTTGTCCCTCTCCTCTAACTTTCATTTACACAATTCACCTCCTGTCTCTCTCTCTATTGTACATTTCCCCTCACCCCGCCACACATTTGCAATATTCCTCCGATTTTATTCAAGATACTTGGTTATCAATTCGACTTTTGTTGTTGTTCCTTTATTAAGTGTGGTGCAGCATCTTACTGCAAAAAACATTGTCTAGATGGAAACTTTTAGTCTAAATGTTCAAACTTACCAATAGTTGTCATCAAATTAGCGACAAAGATCCAGTAAATAGAAGAAGGTGTTCGAATTGGAGCAAGTCGGACCTGAAAACCTGAAGAGCATAATGAATATTGGTGATGACCTCTTCCTCAAACTGCTATTTTTCTACTTGCTGCAACGAAGGAGACCACACCCGAATAAAATTGTGTGTAGAGAATAAAGCTTATCGAATTAGGAATTCAATCAAGAGTTACTTCTTACCATTGTGACAATCAAGGCAAATTGCACATCGAACTGATCGTTTGTGGAATATCCAACTCATTTTTCTAGGGTCAACTATTGTATGTACTAGACCATGGATTTCTAGTGATAACATCTAAGGTTTTTGGACTGGCCTACTTTTATCGATGCATAGAGGGGGGAAATTAAGAGGTTTTAGAAGTATAAAGGCAATGAAAAGTGCTAATCACCAACCCCTGGTGCAGAAATACCTCGAGGTGTTGGATAAAGCGAATATGAATTACCAAAAGGTCAGCATACAGCAAGCCTTCAACAAACTACGTGCAGAGTTTGAGCGAGTTTGTTTCATTCTTAAAGGATTGGAAGCATTTAATAGGGGTAAGTTTAACCATTGATCGGTATAAATTCAAAATCAGTGTTTCTCAAACATACGCCAACATATAGGCAAGCGTGGAATAGAGAACCTGGGATTGCCGTCAATCAAGGAGGGCTTGATAAGCGGGAATCTGAAATCCGATGTAACGACAAACCATATTTTGCATTCATGCTTTAATGTGAACATGGAAATGAATAACTTGGAAATGACCTTCGGCATTCTCAATACAGCCTATTTCTACGCAGAATCGGACAAAGTCAAAAGGGACGTTTTGTTAAGCCGCCCAAATTTCTCTTTGGAAGAGATTTCTTTCAGGAATTATTACGTGACGCAACCAACACTCTCCAGGTAAGTAATACCACATTAGGTGAGATATTTCAATGCCTTAAACTGTTTTAAAAGCGAGTAAATTAGCAAAAGAATGTGGCATGACGATCTTCGAATTAGTTTGGCTTTCTTCCAACAGCAAATGAGGTTGAATTTGGCGTAATTTGAAGTTAGTAGTATGGTGATGCATAGTGAAACACCTAACAAGAGACACTTACAACTAAGAAGGTTGGTAAGAGGTAAGTGATGAAAAACATGGAACCAGGAGTACCTTAGCTCATCGACGATTCAGAACCATTGACTTTCAATTTAAATGGTTCTTAGCTGAACAATAACTTCATCGTAAGGGAAATAGATATAATTTACTAGATTAATACTTTCATACATATTTGCTGAATGCCTTCGACAACTTTAATGTAGATAAAGAAGCGTATTTGCTGACTGGTCACTAAATTCCCTTAGATAGTCGATCTTAAAGTGCATTCTCATACTAGTTTCGTATATGTGAGTCATTAGAACCACGTCAACAGGCTCGAGTCAAATTATGCTCACCGTGTACACATACGGAAGACCAAATGCTTTAGTCTCCAAGCATAAAGCCACAAAGATTAAAAAAGGAAAAGTATCTTGCAAGAATAACACTTAATTGGACTTAACAGAAAGGTAGATATGGGGTTGGGCTGAATAGACGAGTGTAGGTTAGAGAGGACTGGGAGAAGTTTGAGTAAGGATAGAGGAGTTAATGTACAAGTATAAAGTAGTCAAGTAGTCAAATGAGAGTATGTGAACTGAATTAGGAAGAGGAAAGTTGGCCATGGTAAATAAAGGTTGTAAAGGGAGGATTAAGTGAGTTTAGAAAGGAGTTCTGATATCTCCAAACCGTGTAAGAAAACTTTGACTCAAGCCTGAAAGTAATAAATCTTGCAAACTTCAGAAATTTTGTAAGGCATTAATTGCTGAAATGATCTTTAAATGATGATCCTATATCAAATTTTGATAAGAAAGTTACTAACTAACAGCTGTAACCACTTGCAAGTTGAAGACTGTTGCTGATTTTCAAAACTTTCCAATCGAAAGATGTTATCACATTGTGATCTTTGTTAAAGCTCACTTTGAATGAAAAAGTTGAATTCGTTAATACTCTAAAAGTTGGTCAGTCTCAGCCAAATTCTACCAGTTGGTAAGAAGAAGGGACACAATGAGATGAACAACTGTTCAATTATATCGAAACTTCGACGGACACTGAGTAATACGAATAAGAATTCCATGGTTCAAAATTTGAAAAATGAGCATCGAGATACATCGTTAGTGAGATAGTGAACAGTACAATTTGCCTGGCTTTGGGGTGACATCTAATCTTGATATTCTGACTTCATTAAATACTCTACTCCCACTCCCCCCCCCCAAATAAGTCGTTTTCCTATTTTCATCAGTCAGTTTTCTAACAATTGCTATTAGTACATAATTTTTATTCTCCTTAAAAAAATCATTCTTGGAGTTGTCTGAGTTCAGGTAGAATGGTATAGTGCAAAGCAGAATATTCAGTCGAATCCGTTTCGACTTCACAAATATTGGCATTCACCAATTTTGTTGTGCATTCTTCGAATCCGAATTTGTGAAAAGCCAATTGATTGACCTTGTGTGACCCGTCACTCTAAACCTGATCTTATTATAAGGTCAACTAATATTATTGATATCAACTGGACATCGGCAACGGTCATTTGGTGGAAACGCTCTTACTACCCGAAACACCTCCAGCTTGTTGTATTAAAGAAGCAGTCCCATGGTCGATCAAGCTTGTGACGCTTTATTTTTCGCAAAGCTTGGTAGCTCAGCACGTTACCATTTTCAGTCGAAGTCCCCTTGGGATTTTCTAGAATTATTACCATCACAAAACATAGCTTTCCTGGATCAATGAGGTGCGATTTAAGCCTCTCTTTCTCTGATTGGGTGCGAAAGTGGAAGTTCCTTATGAAGATCTCAATATTTGTGTATAAGGGGTGTACGATAGATTTACCTCCACGTGGTGCACCCTGGGCAACGTATACACATACAGCAAAAAAGTCTATTAACTGGCAGTTGACTTCTGACTTCAAACTACCACCCCCCACTCTATGCCATATTCGACTATTTGCACAGTACTCACCTCACCTTTTTTCTACCTTTGTGTCTGTCTCTTTTACATCTTTGAAACACTCCTCTGTTCCCCCCCCCTCTCGACTTTTTTCACTTTGATGTTCCTTCCCCTCTGTGAAGTCTGAAGTCAACTAAAGGGCTAATGATAACCATCAAGACGCCTGCCACTTGATA